TTAGTTCCAAAAGGAATAGAATTAGCAAACCTATAATATTAGTTCCTAATTAGGACTCCTAAATATATAAATAGGGGACTTAAGAGGCACCTAGAACTCCCCACAAGATTAACGCCCCACCACCCCAAAAGAGCTCCAAGAATCCCCTTAGGAGAAATCAAGAAAGCAAGGAAGCTTAAAGAAAGATCCTTCATAGCCAAGGAATTAATTAAGGCTAAGAGGTAACCCATGTCTCAACAAAACCTATTTTCATAGTTATAATTCCCCCTTAGGGTTTCCCCATATTATTGTATATTGGCGAGTTATGATGATTATTATTGGTAATTGATGTGATGATCCCATGGGGGATCTTGATGATCTTGATATTGGGAGATTCTTGATAATTATAGTGTTCTTGATAATTATATGGAGTTCTTGATGATTATGTGTTGTTCCTGATAATTGTGTGATGTTCTTGATGCTTATGTGTTATTCTTACCGAATCTTGCAATTAGAAGACGAACCGTATTCTTGTTGATATAAAAGTGATTAGAACCCTAGGTTGTATCATATGATCTTATTCTTGGATTATCGGGTGGGGAAATCGCATGTTTGGGTGTTGATTATATTTAGAAAAGCATGATAGGTTATGTGCCATTCGTTTCTCGTATTTGATCCGTTAATTGTCTACGTGTTGTCGTTAATTGCGTTGTAAGGTGTCTAAGCATGGTTTCGGGTTCCACAATGGTTCCCGGGGCGCAAAAGTGATGAAAAGAGTCAGTGGGGGGTAGGTGGGGGGGACCCGCCACCTACCCACGGCCGTGAAACACCGCCCGGCAGCGGGTAGCCGGCGGGCGGGCAGCTGCCCGCCGGCGACCCGCTGCCCGGAACAGTACTTTCCGGCGGGCAGCCGGCGGGTGGCCCCCCACCCACCGGCTACCCGCTGGAAATTCCCCCACCTTGGGTTCCCGGCTTCCCCGTTTGATGTTCCCCCGATCCCCGTGGTGTCCCAACGGACTCCGTTCATCGTGCCTATGTCTAGTTTGATATTTCGGGTGCCGTTCGTAGGTTTACGAGTCTATTACATTGCATGCTAGTTGAATTGGTATCCCGTTGACCTAGGTGGTAGAAGTATGAACCCCTTAGGACTATTCTTAGTATGTGATGGATCACGCATAGGTTTTGTTATACGTTTTCTCCCCCTTCCTAATGTGTAATGTGGGTTGCATGTGCTTGCTATGTGTTATGTGTGTGTGTTACCCCAATTCGGTTGCGATCGGATTGGTTATCCTGTGCGGTTCAGAAGTTGGTTGCGGTCAGATTGATACTCTTGGGCTGCGGTCCACCGTTTGGTTGCGATCAAACGTTTCTATACGAGCTGCGGTTCGTCCTTTTTCCTGGCTGCGGTCAGATGACATTCTCTTGGGCTGCGGTCCACTGTTTGGTTGCGATCAAACACTATGATGAGCTGCGGTTCATTGGTCGGTTGCGATCGACCCCTCCGTGTTGCGATACGGGGCAGGGTGCTGCGGGGCCGTGTCAGAGCTATATGCGCTGACCCTCATGTATGGGCATGCGATTGGTCCTGTGGCGCCAACAAAGTGTTTTATGTGTTGTGATATGGACGAGTTGTGATTACGAGTGTCTTGCGGGATGTGACTATGGGATTTATATTGGGGATTGTTCATGTTGGGTTATGATCATTGTTTATGCTTTGCCTCATCTGCCTTATCTGTTGTGAACTGCATATGCTCGTTATAACTGTTGCTTGTGTCTGGCCTTATCTGTCGAGTCATTCCCGGTTTTAAAGCTAGAGTTCGTAGGACATATCTTCATGCTCAAAATGGTTTTCGTATATCTATATATATCTCTATATGTATTGTATTTCAACGCGTTGGAGTGGGTTACCAGCATCTCTCGCTGAACAGATATATTTGGCTTTCAGGCACAGAGGACTAGAGCACTGGAGCGCGCTAGAACTGGAACGTAGAAGTAGATTAGTTTCCCTTTTCGGCCTGGGCGCCATATTATGCATTGTGTTTCAATGGATACTAGTTAGATAGCCTGTGCACCTGGGTTCTCTAGCCCAGGTGTGGCATAGCACCCGGTACACTTATGATATAATTTGGGATGTAATGAGATATTACCTCTATTATATAAGCTTAAAATGTCTTAAAAAATCTGGGGTGTTACATCATACACACGGGATCACATCAAGGGATTCAATCAAGGGGTTTCAATGAAGGACACGAAACTATACTCAACAACAACAATGGACCTCAATCCAATATCAACATGATTGGAAACATGAGTTGCCAATCCTCAATAGAAAGGGATAAACAACACATACTAGCATCAATGACACCAAGACTAGCATGCATATCAAACGGGTAAACCAAAATGGTTCCAACGAACCCCAACGGCTCATAATAATCCAACGAATCACAAAGTTAGACCACAAGCACGATTCAAGACACCAAGTCCTAATATGGATACTTAAGACATCGCTCTAGGCATACGTAACATCAAGGAGACACACAAAAGCTCAACAATCCAATCAAACGGGGGCCAAAGAATCACACACGAATGGGCAAAACGGTGGGCAAACAACCCCACCCATTTTTCAAACATGTACCCTGCGGGTGGGGCCACGGGTAGGGCTCCACCCGTGGTAGTACCCGCGGGGTACATCAGGGCCCAAAAATCAGCATTTGCAAAAATTCACTTTCAAGGCCAAGTTCAAGTCCAAATGACCCCAAATCTTCCACACAACAAAGATATGACTTGAACCTATGAATAGCTCATACAATAGCATTCAAGAACCCTAAATACAAGCTCTAAACATGCATTATCACAAGATCATGCATCAATCACTCCAACACATCAAGAATACCACATAGAAGTCAATAATCATTATTATCAAGTGAAAATAGGTTTTGTGTAGCATGTGTTACCTCTTGTAGACCAAGAACACCTTCTTCAACCTCAAAACAAGACCAAAGCTCCTCTAGATCAACCTAGCACTTCACTCACTACTAGATCTTCTACAAACTCCCAAAACCCACAAGGTAGAAGAAAGATTTAGAGAAAAGATGGAGGAATCTTGTAAGGAAAAGGTAGGGAAGGATAGATCTTACCAATCCTAGCCTTGTAGTGTTGGAAAGTTGGAATCTTGGCTTGGAATTTCTTGAAGAACTTGTGAAGATCAACTCTAGGATTTCTTAGAGAGAAGGAGGAGTAGGGGGCAAGAAAGAGATGTAGAGAGAAGGGAAATCTTGAAAAATGATTTCGATTCCTTGGTTAGGGTAGGGTTTTAATGCTATCATTGTGTGAAATGACCAAAAGGGCCCCTTCCTCCTAAAACTAGTTAGGAGAAAGACCAAGTCTAGGGTACAAGGGTTAAAGCACAAGGTACAACTTATTAACCAAATTAAAAGTGTAAGGGATTTGGTCAAACTAGGTCCCTCAACTAATTTCAAAGGAAAATTAGGATAAGAATTGTAAAGCCACAAGGAATTAATTAAGGAATTAATTCGGGTTTTAGGGAATGAATTTCCTAGGTGTTACATCTAAACTCCCAGAAATATTCTTCTTCATATTCTAACCACAACCATCCTCCCAATTCCAGCTACGACCAAAACATAATTGTAGTATTGGTTGTGGTCCTGTGGATGATGGTTTATTTATAGTGTTGAAGTAGGTGTAGATGTTCATGTAAATATTGATTTTGAATTTTAAATTTATCTCCAATCAATTAATGTTAGAAACATAAAATAATTATTGCAATGTTAATTCTCAGTTATGGATCAACAATTATTACTCAAATTGCTTTAATATATATAGAGACTAGTAATTGTCTCGTGCGATGCACGAACTATTATTAATTTAACAAATTTACCAATTAAAATTTTGACATCATTTGAATTAGCAAAGAAAGTAATGGTTGTGGAAACAGAAAAATGGACTTGAGTTCTTGAGCTCAAAATTAGTTTGATTAAAAATGTAAGTACAACTATACAATGTAATATTTAATATTTTTAAAAATTTAATTATGTTATTATTATGTTGATTTTAAAGTTTATTGTTACTTGTATTATTATTTGAATTTGATTTTTTTTGAAAGGAATTTGAATTTGAAATAACTACGTACTTTAATTATATAACTAACGTATTTAAATAAAACTTGTAAATAAAATAACATGCGATATTTGTCGAAAATCTCCACCAAAAACTTATTCATTTGAAAAAGATTATTTATGTAAGAACTATATTTATTTTATATCTAATTTCTCCTCTTTATATATGTGGAGTCAAATTAATTATATTTGAGGTTTAAATGAATATTTACACAAATTATATTAAATATAAAACTTTACCAATAAAGTTGAACACAATAAACTTTTTTCCATACTTCATTATGCTTTAATATATATAGAGATAGAGATAGAGCTAAAAAAATATGTATAAATACATCTATCCACATAATTGAGATTTAAATGAATATATACACAAAGAGAAAATTTCAATTTTGGTCCTATGACTATAGAGGCTTTGTTAATTTCAGCACATGACTTTCAAAAGTGTCAATTTAGTACCTTGACTATGCAATTTTTATCAATTTTGGTCACTCCGGTCAAATTGCCGACCAAATTTCACCGAAAAATTTTAACAGTTAAAATAATAAGGGTATTTTAGTCATATCACATCTCTTCCCTTCTTCTCTGGCGAATTCATTTTTTCCGGTGAATTCGAGGATGAGGTGCGATGCGATGCTTTCAACATTATCCAAAAAGAAAAGTATTTATTCAACATTATCCAAAAAGATAAGTATTTATTCAACATCAATTTTATCATAATGTTGATATAGAGAAGTTTTAGAATAAATAGGCACCAACATCACTTTTAGCATTTCGCTTTCTTCTTCGAGCAAGCCTTTTTTTGGCCGGAAAAGCTTCCAATCGGAATTTTGGCAGGAGGTGCGCTGGACGAGCACAAAGAGAAGTGCAGTTTGGAGATTTCTAGGTCCGTCGATATATCATGCTCCCCTTACACAAACGGCCAGATGTTTTCAACCGGAATTTTGGCCATCTAAACCCTAATAAATCACCGGCGACGGCTTTGGAAGGTGTGCTGCTGCGACGGATTTGCTGGAGAAGATGGAAGAGATGTGAAATGACTAAAATACCCTCATTATTTTAACTGTTAAAATTTTTTGGCGAAATTTGGTCGACAATTTGACCGGAGTGACCAAAATTGATAAAAATTGCATAGTCAAGGTACTAAATTGACACTTTTGAAAGTCAGGTTCTGAAATTAACAAAGTCCCTATAGTCATATGACCAAAATTGAAAATTTCTCTATACACAAATTATATTAAATATAAAACTTTACCAATAAATTTGAACACAATAAACTTTTTTACATACTTCATTATGCTTTAATTTATATAGAGATAGAGATAGAGATAGAGATAGAGATAGAGATAGAGCTAAAAAAATATGTATAAATATATCTACTCACACAATTAATGCATTCATACTTGCTAATCTTGTTTCTATCAAAATGCACTCACATTTTGGAGGGAAAATTTTGTGGCTAGATTATTTATATATAATAATATAAAGATAAAGATAAAGAAGATAAAGATATAAAGAGATAGAGATAGAGATAGAGATAGAGATAGAGATAGAGAAGAGAAGAGAAGAGAAGAGAAGAGAAGAGAAGAGAAGAGAAGAGAAGAGATAGAGATATAATATATAATATATGCAATATTTTATAAATTACCGATATAGACATGTTATGTTGACTAATTTAATAATTACTAGTAGTTCCACCCGTGCGTTGCACGACAATATATGTAATCAATATAATATATATTGTATAATAGAAAAACGAGCACTGCCGCAAAACATTTAAAATGTATTAGACATTATTGAATACTTCTTTATATACGACATTTGTAGTCGTATTTTTAGATTGTACATTTTCGTCATAAATAAGTATTTTTAATCCCTTAGGATTACTAACTCTTGACAATGTTACATACATTTGACCATGATTAAAAACCGGCCTCTTCAAAAACAAACCCACATTGGACAATGTTTGGCAGTGGCTTTTATCTATTGTCATGGCATATGACAACATTAGCGGAAATTGCTTTCTTTGGAATTTAAAAGGGAATCTTGGATCCGAAGGTGTTAAGGACATCCTTGGAATTAAGACCTTTGTACCAGCACTTGATCCGGTCAGTATTTGAGCTTCTAAAACATGATCAGCCAACTTTGAAATAATCATCCTTGTACCATTGCACAACCCCAATGAGTGATCAATATTTCTTAAGAGCATAACTGGGGAGCCAACTTTTAGAGTCAATGAGTGATTTGGAACTTTAGAACATCGTAAGCCATTTAAAAATTCCGGTGTGTGCAGATCAGCAAACATGTCAACATTAGAATCAGATTTGCATACCGATTCACAACTGAGATACGTCCTTCCTTCAGCATTGTTATAGTCATTCATGTATTCGTTGACTGTATCTACAACATCCAAAGTTGGCGCCAAGATCGCACGATCTTTTAGATATTCATGATTTCTGTGGCCACCGCGAAACATAGGGAATGTGCTATCAACAATTGTAGAAATAGGATCCTCCCCACACGTGAGCAAAAATTGTTCAGGAATATTTATCTCAGATTCTCCATCCATTGAATCACCAATTGTTCCATCACCTATATTAGCAATCCACTTTGCAAAATCCGCAATCTCTTGAACTTCACTATCTGATTTCAAAGCCCTAAGCCATAGATTCTTTGTTAACCTAAACACTTTACAGCTTCTCCAAAGATAGGATGAATTTATACTTGCTCGCACAATATCTTGCCTCGTGCCCTTTGGAATGACTGGTAGAATCTGTCTGAAATCTCCACCTAACACCACTATTTTTCCACCAAAAGTCATATCGAAGCTGTTTGGATTTTTGGCACGCATTATATCTCTCATAGATCGGTCCAAAGCTTCAAAGCAGAATTTATGCATCATTGGTGCCTCGTCCCAAATGATCAACCTACTTTGCATGATCAACTGTGCCAAAGGACTGCTTTGGCTGATATTGCAGGTTGAATCTTCATTAACAACGATCGATATTGCGAACCTTGAATGGGCAGTTCTTCCCCTGGGTAATAGAAGAGAAGCTATGCCACTTGATGCAACGTTCAAAACTATCTCACCCTTTGACCTTAGAGCAGAAGATAATGCTCTCCACAAGAATGTTTTTCCCGTTCCACCGTATCCATAAACAAAAAAAATCCTCCAAGATTATTCTCAGCATCTTGCAATACGTTGTCATATATTGTTCTTTGCTCTTCAGTTAGTTTCTCCACCAAAGTATCATTCTCTTCCTTCATTACATTAATATCATATGCCAATTCCTTCTAACCGATTGGTTGTTCTAGAATGATTAACTAAATCAGGTATCGGCATTGACTGAAAGTCTTTCAAACTTTTTCCCATAGCTGAAAGCATTATTTCTATCTCCGTAAGTGTAAAATTCTTCTTCTCATCTTCAGATATAATCCAATCTGTGACAATATTATTAACAACTATGATAACTTTGTTTGTAAAATTCTATTGTAACAGTAAAAAGGAAAAATAGAATACCTGGAATTCCCAATTGTTCTCTAATCTTGAATTGTGCATCGTCTGACAAATGAATCCACGCAGCTTCCCACACCACCTCTGGTTTTGCTATTGAGTTAGTCATCAAGAGAGTGACAAACAATCTTCTCAAATTCATAGCTGTGGCCCAGTGACTTGCTTATTCTATAGCATGAACATATTCCCTGTTGTCATCTACTAATCCTCAAGCACAACACGCATTCCTAAAAGATTCATATTAGACACCATCCACTGTTTTTATATCTAAATAACTTGTGGGACCTTTGACTTTATTCAAAAGACACCTCAAATAAAAGATCTCCCCTAACCCAGGAGGTACATAGAATGCTTTACCAATTGAAAATCCTTTTTTCCTTGGCTGCCATTGTAACACCCCCAAAAACCAATCTATTTAAAGCCTTAAAACATGCAGATAACTTAAACCAAAACACCAAACACAGCGGAAGACTGAAAGATAAGGTATATATAAAACAAGGAAACGGGGTGCTATGCCACGCTCACCCAAGGGTGAACGCACAGGCTAAATCTGTATTGTTTAAATCTACAACCATCCAATAGAGTTTTACGTCTATATTGGCTCCCAGGCCACAAAACAAAAAGGGGAAACTATGCTAGCAGGCTCTAGACCGCGCACTCGTCTAAGCATTACCTGAAAGAAGCATATAAAACATGGGACGACGCCCGGTCAGCGAATAATGCTAGTAACCCACCAATACATGTGAAATATCATACATAGGTAAGATATAAGTTTGTAAAACCATTTTCGAAACGGAATATATATATATATATATATATATATATATATATATATATATATATATATATATATATATATATATATATATATATATATATATATATATATTAGTAGAGTTATTATTTGTCACATTATTATTATATTCTATAGGTATTATTTGTGTGGTATTATAGGTGTTACACAAAAAGCCGCCCCCATACACATTTCTTCGTGTCTTTGGGTGCCGGTGTTACCCTCATCTACGGCCTTATAATCGCCACAAGATAGAGTACCGCTCGGCCCCATGTGTATTCCTAGGTTACCCCCCGTCTTTTAGGGGATATAGGTGCATGGACCTAACAACTGAGAAAATCTATATCTGCCGCCATGTCAGATTTGACGAAAGTGTGTTTCCCTTTGCAGAACAACAATCACGGATTTTATCCGAGTCCGCACCTCTACCATGGGCAGCAGGGCCCATTGTGCCCCATGTTTTACCGCCAGGCCCAACTCCGGGTCCTGGCCCAGTTGTTCGTGAGCCCACTCCATTGGCACAGGAACCGCAGCCTCTTGCATTAGAGGCCCCGGTTGCTCGGCGGGGCCGGGGACGGGGTCGCGCCCGAGCGCAACCGCAGGAGCGGGATCATGTCATGCGTCTGCATCATCAGACCCGTGGCACGAATGAACCCTTTCAGGCCCTAACTACATCTACTGACCCGACATGTTATTCGCAGGCTGTAGGGCACTCACAGTGGCGTGATGCCATGGATCAAGAGTTCAATGCTCTTATACATAACAATACGTGGCGGCTTATTCCCGCTGAACCACATATGAATATTATCGGGTGCAAATGGGTCTACCGTACCAAGCGCACTGCAGACGGTAAGGTAGAGCGCTATAAAGCCCGGTTAGTAGCCAAAGGGTTCAACCAGGTGGAGGGCGAAGATTTCTTTGAAACTTATAGCCCTGTCGTCAAACCTACCACGGTTCGTTTGCTCTTTTCCGTGGCCGTCTCACAAGGCTGGACACTCCGTCAGCTGGATGTCCATAATGCCTTCCTAAATGGGCACTTAGTGGAGACTGTTTATATGAAACAACCACTGGGTTACGAAGACCCTGCTCATCCAGGGCATGTATGTCATTTGCAACGGTCGTTGTATGGTCTGAAGCAAGCACCCCGCGCCTGGTTCAAGCGCCTACATGATTACCTGGTTTCTGCAGGTTTTTCACCTTCCAAGACAGATGTGTCCCTTTTTCACTACACAGCGGGCTCATCCCGGGTTTTTCTCCTTGTTTATGTCGACGACATCATCATGATGGGCAGTGATGCAGCCCTCATTGATGCCTTACTACACCGATTGGCAGCAACTTTTAAAATCCGGGATCTTGGCACACCTAGTTTTTTCCTTGGGATTGAAACGGTGCAGGAAAATGGTGGGATTATACTATCGCAGCGTCGTTATATGGGAGATATTTTACACAGGGCAGGTATGACCGACTGCAAAGCTTTGGCCACTCCAGCTGCAGTCACGCAAGCCGTTACACCATCACCACAACCGTATGAAAACCCGACGCAATATCGACGCCTAGTCGGTGCTTTGCAGTATCTCACCATCACCCGTCCGGATCTTTCTTTCTCAGTGAATCGCTTATGTCAGTACATGCACTCCCCGACTGATGATCACTGGGTCTTATTGAAGCGGGTGCTGCGCTATATTAAAGGCACACTCGACTATGGTTTACGTCTTTCACCGTCGTCGTCTACTTCGATACATGCCTATTCAGACTCAGACTGGGCAGGCTGTCCGACTGATAGGAAGAGTACCAGTGGGTACGCTGTTTATTTGGGGCCCAATCTTATCTCTTGGTTATCCAGGAAGCAACGCACTGTTGCGCGCTCGTCGACTGAAGCAGAGTACAAGGCCCTAGCCGATGTCTCGGCGGAGGTAACCTGGGTGGTATCCTTACTACGTGAGCTGGGGTTGCATAGTGGTGAACCGGCAACTCTATGGTGCGATAATCTGGGCGCTACATATCTCTGCGCCAACCCCGTCTTTCACGCGAGGACGAAGCACGTCGAAATACACTTTCATTTTGTTCGGGACAAGGTAGCTTCAGGGGACTTCGTCGTCAGCTTTGTGTCAACGAAAGACCAGATAGCGGACATCTTCACCAAACCTCTGCCAGGGCCGCGATTTGCTTTGCTACGTGACAAGCTCAACGTTGTTTTACATCACCCTTGTGCTTGAGGGGGTGTATTAGTAGAGTTATTATTTGTCACATTATTATTGTATTCTATAGGTATTATTTGTGTGGTAGAGAGTTAGTCTACTTTGACTATCCTGATAGATAGGGATCTCTACGTTAGCTTTTCCTATTGTATTGTATTCAGATTATGATTGTTCAATCGAATTGAATTAGCTTTCCTCATCATATATATATATATATATATATATATATATATATATATATATATATATATATATATATATATATATATATATATCTATATAAAAGTCAAAAACCAAAAGTAATAGTCAACACAAGACTCAAACACTCTCAACAAGAACACGGGAACACATCCCAAGACTACATAGAACTACAACGACTCACAAGAAGTCTCAAGGTATAGTCTATCATCACACAATAGACCAACACCCGACATGCATAACTCAAAGGGATAAAGACACAACACACGGCAACACATGCCAAGGCAACACATGCCTTTGTGACTACACACGTCACAAGAAGAGAACTCACAACAACGGCTACACAAGCCCTCGTGACATCACCCATCACGAGTTGATATGCCTTCCTTATGCGCGGTTCCAACCTTATGGCTACCCCCAACCTTATGTCTAGTTCCAACCTTTACCTCTAGGACCCCTGTACACCAAGTCCAACCTTATTCCCCCGGGAACCGTCGTTCCCCCTCCAACAGACCTCCAACAAAACCATCGATTTCATAGTACACGAGGATACCGATCACACATGGCAACACATGCCCTGGATAACACATGTTATCCCAGAAATAAACACGTGAACCTTACACAAAGGCCACAGCTCCATAATCACGTCATGGCCACCACGAGGACCACTGCAATACCTTGGTGACTAGTGTCCCATACCACTAATCGTGCAATCCAGGTAAAGCCACACACACATCACACCACGACAGGAATCAATCAACGGATCACAACGAAGATTTGAAACCATACTCAATCAAGGAATGGGTCACAACCCAACAACAACAACGATGATTAACACAAGTTAACATCAACCAAGGAAGGTACAAACAACACACATGCTAGCATATAAACACCGAACAAGCATGCTTATCAAACGGGTAAACCAAACGTAATTCCGAAGAACACACAAGACTCATCACGGTTCAACGAATCACAATGTTGAACACTTAGCACGATTTAAGACACCAAAACCTACATGGATACCTACCACATAGTTCTAGACATACGAAACATCAAGAAGACGCTCAAATAGTTCCACAAAAGAACATCGGGAAGTCAAAAGACCAAATACTGAGTCAAAAGAATCACGGGGAACAAATCACCCTACAACCACAATACGTACCCCGCGGGTGGGCCCACGGGTACCAACACCCACAAGCCACGTTCCCGCGGGTGGGGCGGCGGGTAGGGCTCTACCCGCCGTTCCGCCCGCGGGTACATCCTTGTGCCCAAAATAATCCCTTCGGGGATTTTCAACTCCAAGCTCAAATTCAAGTCCAAAACATGCCAAATCTCACCAAATACAACAAAATGACTTGAATCAAAGGAATAGCCAAGCAATGGCATACAAGAACCCTAAACACAAGCTCTAGATATGCATTTTCACAAGACAATGCATAAACACTCACATTTCATGTCAAAACACATGTAGAATCCAAGAATCATCAAATAGGTAAGCAAAATAGATTTTGTAGAGCATGGGTTACCTCTTGTAGACCAAAAACCTTCACTTAACACAACACCAAGCTCCTATCAAAGCTCACCTTCCAAACCCACTTCAAGAACACACCAAAAGATCATAAAGATCATATCTTTAAGAAAAGACACCTAAGAGAACACTAGAAACACAAGATGAACATGGATCTTACCCTCGTAGATGCCCAAATGTATGAAAGGTAGAATCTGGAGTCAACTCTTGAAGTCTTGACAAGGTTTCAACTTGGCTTGGAAGAAAAGCTATCCACCTTTTTAGAGAGAAGATGGAGCTAGGATTTTGGAAAGTGTAAGGATAGAAATGAGGTGTTCTCACTAGGTTAGGTTACAATACTAACACAAGGTGAAAGGTCAAGAATACCCTTACTAATCATGGAAAGGTGTAAGGAACAAGGGAACTCCTTACAAAGCTCAAGGTACAACTTTGACTATGGGGTTGACTAGTCAATTACTAGTCCCCGACTATTAAATTTCGGGAATTTAAGGAATTAAATTACAAATTGAAATAGGATTAATTACTTAATTAATCCCTTAACCGAATTTTGATTTCGGGGTGTCACATCCTCCCCCCCTTCAAAGAAGCTTCGTCCCCGAAGCTTGGGTACGGCGAATTAGAACAAACGGTAACAAAACAACAATGTGACTTAACTTCTTGTGTTGGTTGCCGAAGCCAGTGATGATGTCTCTCCAGTGTTTATTCCAGAACCCTCGGATGGAAATCGGGCCGGGGCATTCCTTCAATTTTTTGCTCAATGTGCCCTCGAATCTGTTGAAGAAGCTCGACGACGAGAGGAGTCCCAAGCTCTGTATCTCGAAGCTGCTCAGAGAGAAGCGACACACAGACAGGAGATTATTCGACAACGGGTAAATGATTCTGAAACCCCTATTGAAATTTCTCCTGATAGACCTGTTGATTCTTCTATTCCATCGTCTGTGTCTGTTTTGCCTGAAAATCTATCTGCTTTGGGTTCCGAGAAGTCCCCTGTGAATGTTGATCCTCTATCTTTGTCTGTAACTGATTTTGCTGGTAAAAAATCTGATGCGTTGCATGTGTCTGATGAGAAAACAAAGTCCTCTGATGAACCAAATCCACTAAGTCTGGTTGTTTATGCTTCTGAGAATATTGCTCTGCCTCCGTCTGAAACTGTTAATGTCTCTAAAGAGTCTTGTCCTGCTGTTGATCCTCCTGCCTTACCTGCAACTGTTGAAACTGTTGAGTTATCAAGTCCCCACAAGTCTGAGAAAACAGGTGGAGTCCCTGTTTACACTGCAACATCTTTAGGAGAAAGCCTGGATCATGTGCGACATTTTGCTGGGTTACCATCTGCTTCAATTCCTCAACCTTACCGAGTGATACATCCTTCAGAATCCTCCAGTGAAGATGATAAGATACTGGCTGAGGTGTATGGATCCCAAGCACCTTCACCGGCTGCACCTACTGTTGAGGCAACTGCACATCCTGATTCCACGAATTTCAAAATTCGAGAGATATCGAATATTGTTGGAAGCTCGTCTGCAAATGTTTCTGATTCTAGCCATTCTGTGACACCAGTTCAATCCCCGACCAGAGAAACAAGACCGACGAAAAAGAAGAATGTTCCAACAAAGGTTGTTGTTGAAACCAGTGCTGATAATGCTGATGTGGTTCAGCCTGTGAAGAGGAGAAAGTCGAGTGAGAAGCTTGAAGGAGACCCACCTATCCACCAAGTATTCAAGACTCTACGTTCCTCTGTTAAGCAACAAGGAACTGCTGCTGCTGAAGCTACTTCTGCACCAGTCCCCTCTGCCAAAAAAGGGAAATCGACCACAAGGTCAAGAGGTCGAAGTGTAACTCCGGAGGTTCCACCTGTTGAAGGAATTGACACTACTGTTTACAAACCTCAGTTTGTATCCCTTGCTGCACAAACAAAATGGGCCACTATGGTCAGAAGGGAGCTGATTGTTCAAAGAACTGTGGATGAGAATCAACTGAACTCAGTTTGCGATATCCTGCCCTTGCTGAATGAAGTTGGCCTTTTGAAAACTGTTACAGATGTTTGTCCTTACTCCAAGCTGCTCACATATGAATTCTATAGCAATCTCAGTGATGAGATTGACAGTCTCACAGGGCCACGACTGATGCAGATTTTCATCAGAGGGAAGTGGTATGATTTTGGGCCAGATGTGATAAATAAATACTATGGCTTGCCTGCAGTGCAAGAAGAAGCTGTTACTGAATGGGATGTGGTGGCCAAAACTCTTACCGGTGGACAGACTACATCTTGGCCTACTGGAGATAAGGACTATTTGCTGAGCTCGCATCTCACGTCTAGATATGTCATCCTACATCGCCTGGCTCTGCACAACTGGCTTCCATCAGCTCATTTCAACACAGTTGGTAAACTTCTGGCAGGGTTCTTATTTAGAATTGGAACTAAGATGCAGTTTGATCTGGGCAAATGGATTTATTATCATGTTCTAACTCTGGTTCATCCCCGGGAACAGAAGGTAAGACTACCGTTTCCAAATCTGATTTTTGGCATCCTTACCTCTCAGGGTCTTAAGCCTATGCCCAGCGAAGTGATCAGTCCGACGCTGCTCTATACTGTTGACAAACGTCTTCTCTCTGGAGATCATATGAAGGATGTCGTTCCTGTGACTGCCCCATCCAATTCGGAACCTGATGTCGTGAATGATGAGTCTCCTCATGCTAAAGATGTGAAGCTTTCCGAACAGTTGAAGGCGCGAGTTGCTGATCTTGAGACGGTGCACGGTATCATTGCCAAGCAACTGACAGGTGCGCGCACTGAGCTAGCTACTATTCTTCTCCGCATGAGCCTGACTGATACTGCTGCTGCTGCTGTGGATCCCGTGAAGTCTGACTGTGACTCTCCCTCAAATGCTTGATCTTTGGCTACCATTGGCAAAGAGGGGGAGAAGTAACTCAGGGGGAGTTTTTTGTGCTTTTGTGATCAAGTACCTTTTGGCCCTGGCTGGGCGTTATGTACCTTCTGACCCTGGCTGGGCGTTATGTTTTGATGTCGTTTTTTTGTTTTTAGACTGTTTTGGATCTTATGTGCTTTTTATCCTATGTAATCAGTTTGGACACATGGGTTGCTTCTTTTAATAACCTATCTTAGTTCTTTTTATATAGTTGAGTTGTTTTGCCAAATAATAGCCAAAGGGGGAGCTTGTTAGTGTTTTTATGTTCAAAAACCCCATATTATAATTGGCAATATTATTATGGCATACTAAGATAGGTTTAGAGTTGTCCGGTTGGGTCTACAGATATCTGATCAATCAGAAGCAACAACAGAAGAACTGACACTGAAGATCTGACTTAGGGAAGCTGTTTCCTTAAGAAGCTCACGCGGTATTATCAGTCCAGTATGGAAAGACGATCAACGTATCTTCAAAGAAGGTAATGGACCTAATCTGCTAAGATTACATTCCTCTTTTATAGTCCTACCTTCTACAATCAAAGACATCTATGGAAAGTGTTTATTGAAGGATCTATAAGTACCAGTTCTTGAAGGGAACTAGGGTTACGTCAAATAAGAAGAAGAAACACTTCATATCAGCTTGATGAGACTAGATCTTTGATTGTCATGCATCTTCTCAATACAACATGTTCACGGTGATTAAGATGATGAACTTGAGAAGAGTTACTGCTGCTTAAACGAAAGGACACTAAGATCACACTGTTGTGGGAACAACGTTATAGAGCGTCACTGAAGTGGACTGCATCAGAGTGAGCTCTCCAAGTGAAGGGATTTCATTGGACTTCTGTATGCATGGCTCTCCATCTTCAACAATCCACTAAACCTGTGTAGACTGGGTATGTACCTTGTGTGGGGCACTAGGGTAAGATTATTGTATATCTACCTTTGTACATTGGATTATGATTTAGTGGATTGGACGCCTATGTGATCGTCCCCCAGACGTAGATACACACCGTATCGAACTGGGTAACATTGTGAGTGTTCGTTCTGTGTGTTTGTTTATTTTTTTCCTCTGATGTTCTCTTCATGATCTATCATTACTTAGTAGGCGCTTAACTGAATCAATCAGTATTTTAAGTCAGCCAACCATTTCTGACTTTTTACGTAAAATGAGGTAATGCAAAATTACATAGGTTAAGAAGGAAATCAAGATCTTCAAGATTACAACTTAGGAAAACGAGGTTGTCATCTTGTATAGAATCAAATTAAGAAGGAAACGAGAACGACGCTCGAAGAGATAGGAAAGATTTCTCGGAAAGAGACAATTGGTTTGACAAGAAGATGATAAAAAGACGGCTTAAAGAGGGTTAAGGATTCTCGACTTCAGGCTACTTCTTCGACTTGACGCTTCGATCACTGCACTATTGACGAACTGAAGGCTCTCTACTTCGACTCGGACGTGGTTTAACTCTTAGACCTTGCCGGATTCCTTCATAAGCTGATGTCACCGCCGCCATGCACAAGATGGTTTGGAAGAACACAAGAACAAGGTTTGGAAGAAAAGGATCACTTGGCAAAAAGGGTGATTGGGTTTGTCTAAAGGAAAGAAGAGATTTACGAGGGTCAAGGCAACACTCAAACAAGCTAACGCCCGAAGCTAACACGCAGGAAAGGCACAAAGATGAAGGGAGGTGCAACAAAAGGGTACAAAACTTACTTCCACGGTCCCCACTTGTATCTGTCTCACAACTGTTGATCTTGCCTTGCCGAGGTTGTTGTTGAGTCCATTGAAGTCTTCCTCTTAAACTTGCACTCGAAGGACCGGTGACCTTACTTGCCACAAGCAAAGCACTCTATCGGTTTCCCAAGGCAGTCCACGCTGGGGTGGTCACTTCCACACTTCTTGCAAACGGAGCACCTTCCCTTAGCCTTGATCTTCCGGATTGGCTGGGTAGCCTTACCTCTCTTAGAGTCATCTCTTTGCAGGCTTCTTGTTGATCCAACACTAGTAGCCATCAAACTCCTAACCACAGGTGAAACGCTTTCGTCAAGCTTCTTCTTACGGTTCCCCCAGATTCCTTTTTGAACTAGCTGAACTCGGTAGAGGTCCGTTGCACAAAGGTAGGCCTCCTTGAATTGAGCAGGATAGAACCGCTCACGTAACTTAACCTTCAGGTCCTCCCAACTAAACTCCGGATCTTGTCTACAATCTGGCCTTTCAAGCATCCACCACGGGTCCGCTTCTTGCCGAAGGTAAAACGTAGCCAATTCCACCTTGCGATCCTCCAGGCATAACACAACTTCAAAGATCTTGTCAAACATCCGGATCCACTCGTCCAGCACTGTAGGATCTTTTTCACCGGCGAAGATCGAGGAACGGAGACTTGCGACTTGGCATACTATGTCACGATTCCCATATCGAAGAGGGTGGTTGTTGAGGAGGGCGTTGCTCAACGTCTGGGTGATCTGCGTCAGTTGATGGAGACTTTGAGCTAACTGTTCATTGGTGACTGCTTCTGAAGACCTTGCATGACGTCTCGATGATGCCATCCTCGACTTCTACAGCAACAGCACGATAACGGGAGGAAGCTTAGGGCGCGCACCCTTACCTGATGCCTCAACTAAAGAGAACCAAAGCTAAAAGGAAAACAAGCACAAAAAGCACAACAGAAAACGATAAAAGAACTCACAACCTCAACGCGCGTCCTAAGAATCCTAAGTCCTAAACACTTAGATTCTTACGGTCACCTTAAGGTTTCAAACCACACTTAGCCACTTAAAAGTCTAGACTCTAACATCCTAAGCTCAAACCTAGGCTCTGATACCAACTGTAACACCCCCTAAAACCAAGCTATTTAAAGCCTTAAAACATGCAGATAACTTAAACCAAAACACCAAACACAGCGGAAGACGGAAAGATAAGGTATATATAAAACAAGGAAACGGGGTGCTATGCCACGCTCACCCAAGGGTGAACGCACAGGCTAAATTTGCATTGTTTAAATCTACAACCATCCAACAGAGTTCTACGTCTATATTGGCTCACAGGCCACAAAACAAAAAGGGGAAACTATGCTAGCAGGCTCTAGACCGCGCACTCGTCTAAGCATCACCTGAAAGAAGCATATAAAACATGGGACGACGCTCGGTCAGCGAATAATACTGGTAACCCACCAATACATGTGAAATATCATACATAGGTAAGATATAAGTTTGTAAAACCATTTTCGAAATGGAATATATATATATATATATATATATATATATATATATATATATATATATATATATATATATATATAAAAGTCAAAAACCAAGAGTAATAGTCAACACAAGACTCAAACACTCTCAATAAGAACACGGGAACACATCCCAAGACTACAAAGAACTACAACGGCTCACAAAAAGTCTCAAGGTATGGTCTATCATCACACAATAGACCAACACCCGACATGCATAACTCAAAGGGATAAAGACACAACACACGGCAACACATGCCAAGGCAACACATACCTTTGTGACTACACACGTCACAAGAAGAGAACTCACAACAACGGCTACACAAGCCCTCGTGACATCACCCATCACGAGTTGATATGCCTTCCTTATGCCCGGTTCCAACCTTATGGCTACCCTCAACCTTATGTCTAGTTCCAACCTTTACCTTCAGGACCCCTGTACACCAAGTCCAACCTTATTCCCCCGGGAACCGTCGTTCCCCCTCCAACAGACCTCCAACAAAACCATCGATTTCATAGTACATGAGGGTACCGATCACACATGGCAACACATGCCCTGGATAACACATGTTATCCCAGAAATAAACACGTGAACCTTACACAAAGGCCACAGCTCCATAATCACGTCATGGCCACCACGAGGACCACTGCAATACCTTGGTGACTAGCGTCCCATACCACTAATCGTGCAATCCAGGTAAAGCCATACACACATCACATCACGACAGGAATCAATCAATGGATCACAACGAAGATATGAAACCATACTCAATCAAGGAATGGGTCACAGCCCAACAACAACAACGATGATTAACACAAGTTAACATCAACCAAGGAAGGTACAAACAACACACATGCTTGCATATAAACACCGAACTAGCATGCTTATCAAACGGGTAAACCAAACGTAGTTCCGAAGAACACACAAGACTCATCACGATTCAACGAATCACAATGTTGAACACTTAGCACGATTCAAGACACCAAAACCTACATGGATACCTACCACATAGTTCTAGACATACGAAACATCAAGAAGACGCTCAAATAGTTCCACAAAAGAACATCGGGAAGTCAAAAGACCAAATATCGAGTCAAAAGAATCACGGGGAACAAATCCCCCAACAACCACAATACGTACCAAGCGGGAGGGCCCACGGGTAGGCCCCTACCCGTGGTCCTGCCCGCGGGTACCAACACCCACAAGCCACGTTCCCGCGGGTGGGGCGGTGGGTTGGGCTCTGCCCGCCGTTCCGCCCGCGGGTACATCCTTGTGCCCAAAATAATCCCTTCGGGGATTTTCAACTCCAAGCTCAAATTCAATTCCAAAACATGCCAAATCTCACCAAATACAACAAAATGACTTGAATCAAAGGAATAGCCAAGCAATGGCATACAAGAACCCTAAACACAAGCTCTAGATATGCATTTTCACAAGACAATGCATAAACACTCACATTTCATAGCAAAACACATGTAGAATCCAAGAATCATCAAATAGGTAAGAAAAATAGATTTTGTAGAGCATGGGTTACCTCTTGTAGACCAAAAACCTTCACTTAACACCACACCAAGCTCCTATCAAAGCTCACCTTCCAAACCCACTTCAAGAACACACCAAAAGATCATAAAGATCCTATCTTTAAGAAAAGACACCTAAGAGAACACTAGAAACACAAGATGAACATGGATCTTACCCTCCTAGATGACCAAATGTATGAAAGGTAGAATCTTGGAGTCAACTCTTGAAGTCTTGACAAGGTTTCAACTTGGCTCGGAAGAAAAGCTATCCACCTTTTTAGAGAGAAGATGGAGCTAGGATTTTGGAAAGTTTAAGGATAGAAATGAGGTGTTCTCACTAGGTTAGGTTACAATACTAACACAAGGTGAAAGGTCAAGAATACCCTTACTAATCATGGAAAGGTTTAAGGAACAAGGGAACTCCTTACAAAGCTCAAGGTACAACTTTGACTATGGGGTTGACTAGTCAATTACTAGTCCCCAACTATTAAATTTCAGGAATTTAAGGAATTAAATTACAAATTGAAATAAGATTAATTACTTAATTAATCCCTTAACCGAATTTGGATTTCGGGGTGTCACATCTTCCCCCCCCCCCCCCCTTCAAAGAAGCTTCATCCCCGAAGCTTGGGTACGACGAATTAGAACAAACGGTAACAAGAACAACAATGTGACAAAGAGTGCCAAGAGCAATTTCTTTTGGTCAAAAACCCCAAAAGATTCCACAAGGATTCAAAGCAAGAAAGAAGGTATACTAAAACAAGAAAGTGAGAAATTTATCCAACGGATATACTGAGCATATCAAAATCTAAACCAAACACAACCACCAACTTCTAGCCAACAACTACGAACTAACAACTATTTCAAAGCATCAACCACAAAACTAGCTACTCAACAAAACGAACAAGCAAGAACGGCACACAAAGCAAACAACAAGCAACTACAAACGGTAACAACAACTAAGAAGATAACAACAACTAAGGAAGGGCGAACAAGATCACCACAACACCGAAAATAACCCTTTGTTGATTCGGAAAGTGAAAGCTTAATCGTTCCACTGATGGTGTCCTAAACTGTATATCAAAACCGAACAACCGCCACGATGCTTCACACGACGATATGTACCTACAATCATAGTATATACTGATTTCATCAATAACTTGCGGTCCATCTTGATCATTGCTGGTTCTGTAAAACTCTGCTGTCACCTTATCGTGACCCTTGTTTACGTACTTGAACAGATATTTGATTGAACGGGACTGATTGCACCATTAAACATTAATATGAGCATTATACTTTAACAACAAATGCCTATTGTGTGGTACCACGTACCTATTATCCAAGTTAATCCCATTGCGCATCACGGAACGACCATTGTCTCTTCTCCGATATATAGGATAACCATCCTCATCAAATGTTGAGAAATTAACAAACTTTTTGGGAAAATGTTTAGTACATTTACCATTCGCCATACATGGAGAAGTCAACCTGGCTCTCCCGCAAGGACCATGCATCATAAACTCCTCAACTACTTTGAAGTATTCTGCGTCAGCTTCTTGATCAGGTAACTCAGCTGAAATAATGTGGTTCAAATTGTCCACACTATGGGCTCCATTGATTTTATCCAGAAACAGGAGAATATGAGCATGCGGTAAACCTCTTTTTTGAAACTCTATGGTATATATCATTGTTAACATATAAAAATGAAAAAAAATTAAAATAGAGCAAAATATATCAACAGTCAAACTTCTCGCACTGCTTTAAATAGTGGCATTTTATTTACGTACCTCCCATTACTGGTCCAAATAACTTGTTCTTCCTACAGTCTGAGATTAGAGCATCCAATTTCATTTTGAATAATCTACATATTATGTCAGGATGATCTTCAGGTTTTAAATTTCTACCATTCAAGATGCGTTATACCTCAGGCCACTTGGGGTTGCAGGTGAATGTGATAAATAGATCTGGATATCCAACCAATCTACATATCGCCATAGCGTCCTGGTAATTTGAATCATGTATCTAGCACTCCCTGTAAAACTCGAAGGCAATATTATTCTCTTTCCTTGAGTAGTGGGGTCAACTTCACCGCGTGTTAATGCACCATTCAAGCAATTATACGATTCGCACCTCAAACTTTTTTGGTGTGTCCTTATATAGATTAACCTTCCTGACTCAACCATTGTATAGGCATCTACCAGAAATTATTGGAATAACCTTTTTGAATGTAATAAAGTAGATACCTCAGAGACCCTAGACTGTATACGGTATGTAAAATATTCTCGAGGCCTTATCCTTTGACGACCACCAGTTGTGTTTTCTTTTAATGTAGAGAAGGGGATGTCTTCCCTGTATCCGTCCTCACCATACGGAAACAATAAAGGGTATTGCATAGGCAAGTAAGCTGGATTTAATTCACTAATTCTTTGCAAGAGGCCGCTCTTCATTTCCACCATAATGTCACGTTCTCCAATATTTGTATCAATATGCTGCGACTTCAGAAACTTGTGGCAAATTGTATGTTCTCGCATCCTTTGATCTCTTCCCAAGCAATTTAATTTTAACCTCAGCCAGTGGATTCTTTTGTAGTTCAGATCGTGCCATGCTGAATGATTTGACCAAGACATTATTCGTATCCAAAACTTGTTGAATATCATTAACAATCTCGACATGGATGCCGTTTTGCTCACCATCTTGCCTAGAAAGAGACCAAATAAGTATATCAAATATCCACATGGATGTGCTTACAAATATGTATAAAATTATACATATAATTAATTTACAGGTACTTACCTTACAGAATTGATATGACTACTAAGGTCATTATTAGTATCATATATATACAATTGTGCAAAATGGGGTTTTTTCCCGTCGAACGGCAAGAGACTACCAATGTAGTGGAAGTTTTGCCCATTTATCCAGAAAATTGGTGGACCACCGGTCTTGTTCACGCTTCTATCTATTTTACCACCCATGGACGTGAAGCAAAACATACTATTGTATGTTCTAATGTTTTGCAGGAATTGCTTGTTTTTTTCTCCTTCTCCAAAAAACAGATTGTATATTGCATTTGGTGGCCTCATGGTTGGTGGCAATTGAATCTTACCATTGTTGCAACACATTGAATATCTTGGGGTGCCGTGAATAACTGTTTTGTTTATCCTTTCTTCGTACAAAAAAAAAAGCTCCACAATGTTGACATGTGTTATTTGCATCGCCAAGATCGTTGTATTCAACTACATTGATAATTAAATATTATTTAGTTAAATTATATAAGATGACCTTAAACATTTCATATTATACATACCGGTATTGAACTGAGTATTATCAAACAGGTGAATCCTTTGGTTTCTACCCTAAACATTACGTACACCTAAAATAATTTTGAATTGACCTAAGATTTAAAATAATAAAGGAATTACCATTTGAAATATGTTGTATAGGTTGTTGCGGAATTTCGACCAATCCTACGATACAGTAATACATTTGATTTAAACAACTAACTACATACAATTGAATAATTATTTTGTAAAGTATCTTCGCAAATGTTAGTGGATATTGAACTTACCACAAGTGTCTTCCATTTGTTCTAAAATGCGATTAGTATTGCAAACTTCTTCAAAACCTTGAAACAAATCGCGATTGGCCACATTATCTTGGCTACGGTCTTTACCCTCATTCATGCATGGTCTCTTGTTGCATTGTCTGGTACCTACTTTATTTAAAGTAGAAAAAAAAGTCTAATACATAAAAAAAATTACTTAAGCAAAGTTAAATGATGTAAAAAATACTTACCGTTTGATATATTGTGTAGAGGTGATCGTTTGCTCTTCGACATAGTTACAGTACCTTTTACAACAAATGTGAAGTTTTTCGGTCTGTCATTGATGATATCAGAATTTTGATATGAAATAAACAATATTATGTATATGCATTAATATAACTAACCAGGAAATATAGAGCTTGTTGTACTTGATAAAAAGGGAGTTCTGCCGCCTATTGCAAAATGTCTGGAGTTACTTTTGCTTGTCGTATATTCCATGTGACATGTACTCATACATATATTTAAACTTTCTGGATTAACTGCAAATAACATATAATGTTCAACAAAATTTCTAAATAGTGTATTAGACCGAAGTATATGCAGATATTTTAAATTTGAAAAGTGTAAAGCGTTTACCTGTTGTTAGACCACTTTTTGGTGTACCACTTGAAGTACCCACTTGTTGTGGTGTGTATTCCGTGTGTAAATTTGAACTATTTTTTTTGCAAAATAGCGTTGTGAGTGCTTGTAACCGGAGAATTTTCAACATTTTCTGCAATGAAAATGTGCAAATATTCATAGATAAGTACCTTTAGTTTTAAAATGAACGATAAGATTATGACCATAATTTCAAATAAAATACATTTCTAATATACTAATGGTACATAATTTACCTACGTAAGGTATATATTTTGAAAGTGACTTTTTAATCTACCAAGTGTACATTATTTTATATAATGTACCATAAGTCTCAAAATAATGTAACTTAAGTACATAAATAAAATACATTTGAATATACTTTGAATATATTAAAAATGTACATGATGGACCAATTGTTCACACAATGTTGTGGACCATTATCCACAACATAATTTGACCAATAATTCTAGCATTTAAATGCATTAAACTTTATTTTACACTGCTCTTTTTAAGACCAAGCCCAACTTTACCTAAAAACTAAAGCCCAAACCCTACCCAATATAATGTTAGCATATCGTGATTTCCAAAATGGGGTCTTCTAGATGGATCTGGCATTTCTTGAACTCTCATATTCCAAAGCCTCGTACAGCTAGCATCCTCTCATATCTACCTAACCTTATCTCTAACATTGTTCAGACAAAAAACCCCATTTCCGATCGTAGAGTTCCTCATTTGCCATTACATTGTTGAGATCTTCTTTAATTCGTAGAAGATCTCAACCTTACTGCAAGGTCTTCATCACCGCTAACATCCGATGAGGGTTCAGTTCTGAAACCCTAGCTGAGATGTGCGGATCATCGGTGGAGTTGTTGTTCGAGGATCTAAGTTTTTATTCTCCGATCTTCGTTTTGAGTCTGGGATCGGCGTTTTTGAAGGTTCTAACGTTGATTGATGATCTAGATCTTCACTTACTACCCTATTCCACTACATCGGCTGTAAGATAAGTAAACTATACCCTATTGTAATTCGTATTTTATAAGAGATTATGTCCGACCGTATAATATATCTTGTTTTAATCTTATTTTGTTTCCTAATTCTAGATCAAGCAGATCTGTATGCCTCCGTACGGTGTTCATGACCTTAGATGGACATTACCGGCAGCTTTCTCGCAATCTTATGCAAGATAAGTGAAACTAAACAATTTTTTTTCTCTAAATTCTTATCTTAGCATAGGATACATATTCGTAGTTTTTTTTTTTTTTTTTTTTTTTTTGGTCTGTATAGTGAACATCACACATTATTTGGTTATTATTATTCATAGGATATTATTGACGAACCAAGCGATGCCTAATTTAATTTCAGAGTTGCAGTTTTTAGATCTATATCTATACTACAAAGATGGGAAGCTAAGCATGCATCAATAAAGGTAAAGAGCTGTAAAATTGTGCAATGAACTAAAACTGCTGAGGTAAAGTATAAATTTTAGTTTTGAATGTGTTTATGGTACCTTTATTGTCGATTATCTGCTTCCTTTTGCTTCCTATTATTGTAGAAGCAACTATTTTCCTCATCTCTGATCTGTTATTGTGTATGTTCCAATGTTTTGTTGTGATTGTATTGGTAGTAGAAATAGTTGGATTAAAAAAGGTGAAGGTTTTATTGGGTTTTTAGCATTTAAGATTGCACTGTAATTGGAATGATGAAAAACAATGATATGACTCTTCATTTTTTATTGAAAAACAACAAAGCAATGTACTTTTTATGTAATTGAATACACATGTTCCCACTGACTTTTAATTGTTTAGTTTTTAAATAGAATTGTGACTAACAATTTTTTTTAGGCTTTGGCAAATGATGAAGCTACATTTCTGATGCCATTACTGTACACAACAATTGAGTGGATTGCAGAGAATGATATTAACATGTCTATTTCTTTTGTTGGCTGATTCACTTTAGTTATTATTCATCTAATTATTTGTTGTGTTTTTAATTTTTAGTACATTCAATTTTTCAATTTTAGGTGTGATCTGTACTGTGATATCAAAAGTGTTAGACCTAGATTGTGTACTTTTATTAGAAATAGACATGATCTGAAATTTTGTAATTACAAAACAGCAGTCTGATTTTGTAATGAAAAAAAGAGCAGTGTTACTCCTCATTGTCAAATTTCAATGTGTATCAGTTTTTAGTTCACATGTTTAGAAGTTACCGTAATAGCACCATTTGTTTTCACTTATTTGTAATTAATATATTCTATTTAGTATACTTTCAAATGTAGTTATGAAAATGTAAATTAAATTCTATTTACTTTAATTTGTTTTGATTGCTGGTTTAGGGTTTAATTGAGTTAGGTATAAAATTTTCTTCATTTGAAATTGACCAAGTCAGACTTATGTAAATAAATACACATGTTCCCACTCACTTTTAATTGTTTAGTTTTTATTCAAAATTGTGACTAACAATTTTTTTAAGGGTTTGGCAAATGATGAAGCTACATTTCTGATGCCATTATTGTACACAGCAATTGAATGGATTGCAGAGAATGATATTAACATGATTGGTCATTCTGATGCCAAATTTTAGTAGTTATTATTCATCTAATTAGTTGTTGTGTTTTTAATTTTTAGAACATTAAATTTTTCAATCTTAGGTGTGATCTGTACTGTGATGTCAACAGTGTTAGTCCTAGATTGTGTACTTTGATTAGAAATAGACATGATCTGAAATTTTGTAATTTTGTAATGAAAAAAAGAGCAGTGTTACTCCTCTATGTCAAATTTCAATGTGTATGAGTTTTTAATTCACATTTTTAGAAGTTACCGTATTAGCACCATTTTTTTTTACTGATTTGTAATTTATATATTCGATTTAGTATATTTTCAAATGTAGTTATGAAAATGTAAATTAAATTCTATTTACCACATTATTTGTTTTGATTGCAGGTTTAGGATTTAATTGAGTTAGGTATACAATTGACTTCTGAAAATTTAATCACATTTGAAATTGACCAAGTCAATTTATGCTGAATTCTTTTTTTTTTTTTGACTCTATAATTAATGTTTATTTAAAGATCTAGAATACTATGATAAATGTATTGTGTTTGTTCTTATTTTTTTTTATGCATAAAACACACCAATGATATCCAGAAAGTTAATTCATAGTATTAAAGTGTGAACACTAACTTTTTTAAAACTGAATTTCAATTTAGCGAGACCTAAATCTATCATGTTATATGTGAAGTGTTACTGATTTACTATTGTCAGATGTTACTTTATTTTGGTAGTTTGCTAATGATGATATTTAAACTGTGTGAGTTTCAAAGTAAAAGAGCAGTCTGTATACAGTGTAAATAATGAGTTTTATTACATTAGATAGAGTCCAATTTAAAATACAGACTTAGTACTTGGATACACATTTAGCAGATGGCAACAGCTTAATAATTGAAAACCATTATGTGGTACAGTACTTGACTGTGTTTGCTTTCTTAAATGAGTGTGATTGTGTTTGCTTCCTTGTGTTTGCTTCCTTCTTGTCCTGCATACATTTTCATATATCTAACAGTAGAAGGTAATAAACAGAGATTTATGAATGTTTATAAAAAATCATAGGTAAATAACAATGGCAAATAGTCTAATCATAGATTCAAATCAAATGAAATTGTTCAGCACAAACACAGTGAAATTTAACAGGGCAAGTGATCAGTTTAAAAAGATAAAAAACCACAATAATGTGGTAATAGTCTGTAGTCTCCCAAATCATTAAAGTTTTTCTTGTTTAACAGCCACGGTTTTTCCCTTCTTGCTAGAGGAGGAGAATTGGTCCATAAGCGATCGCTTCACACCATTAGCCTCTAAATGTTCATTGTCTAGCCTTTGAGACTGTTGTATATTTATTGGACTGTTGACATCACTGTCTCAATTTGAAGCTTCCTGTATATTAAAATAAAGTTTAGTCTAAAACATGTCAAACATAGGATTAAAAATGTAAAAATTTATTTGACTTTAGTAATAATAAAAACCTGATCTGAGTCCTCCTCTTCCTCCTCGTCCTCATCTATCATTTTTGATATCAAGTACTTGTCATGGTCTTCAATCAGTTTAGAACAGTATGCTGAGACTAGGGATGTCAATCGGGCCAGCCCACTCGGTTTCGGGCTAGCCCTGTCGGGTTATCGGGCTAATCGGTTCGGGCTAATCGGTTTATTATTATTTTATTCTCAGATTCGGTTTGGCCCTAACCCTAAACTTCGGGTTGTCGGGCTAATCGGACGAGTTGAACCATCTGAACTAAAATTAGAAATTAAAAGTGAGTACCCATATTTAGAGTATGGATGACAACGGGTCGGGGCGGGGCGGAGCGGGTCGGGGGCGGGAAGTATACTTCCTGTCTCCGTCCTCAACAGGAAATTGAAAATAGTCCCTGTCTACGTTCCTGCGGAGAATTTGGCGAGGACGAAAAATCTTTCGTCCTCATCAATTTTTAGTCAAAATATTAGATTAATGTTGTTTTAAATTTTAAAAAACTAAAAACTTAGATTTTAATTTAAATTATATATATATATATATATATATATATATATATATATATATATATTTATTTATTTATTTATTTATTTATAATTATAATAATTATTTAATGTGTGTTAGGTTTCACATCACTTCTATAATAAAGAATAATTTTCAATAGTTCGGGTTGTCGGGCTAGCCCTTTTAATTTCGGGCTAGCCCTATCGGGCTACCGGGCTAATCGGTTTCGGGCTCGTCGGGCTAATGTGTTTTATCGGGCTAGCCCGTTCGGGCCATAGCCCTGGCGGTTTCGGTTTTATCGGGTTGGCCCATCGGGTTCGGGCTAAATTGACATCCCTAGCTGAGACTAAGGCTTCATCCCTTAGAACTCTCATAACAGTGTAGGCTGAATTAGCTCCCTTCATGAACTCCATTTTTAATGATATCTTAAATACCATTCTCATACCAACTAATGATTCCAATTCTTTTGGAATGTCAAAAACCTAACATACAAAAAATAGCATACTTTTTAAAAAGACAAATCCAAAATGACTCTATATGTATGTGTAAAATTTATAAGTAATGTAACTTTACCTTATTATACTTTGTGTACAAACTGTGTGCTGGGATACCAACTAATTCAGAACACTCCCTATCCCATAAAAAGAAAGGAGCATCTCTTAGACCTTTATCTAGAACAATAACTCTGACCCGATACCTTGCCATTCCTTGTTTATATTTCTTATCACAATTTGTACAAATCAGATCACCTGATTGTTCATAAAGCTTTCTATTACATCCCGGTGACATGCAAGAGATGTACATCCATCCAAAAGAACCTTCAATACCCACAATTTCAGCAGGTACATAGAAATCCCCATTCTGCATTTTTTTTTTGAAATTACTTGGTTACTCTGTCTTATGTAATCTATAATCAGTTTTGTGGACTGTATTCATGGTTTTTAGAAATATAGAGTCTAACCTGCTTCTTTTTCAATAGATCAACTACTGTAGTTACAGTCAAAGCACCACTCGTAAAATCATCAATTCCAGTTGATTGAGACAACATTGTTGCTGTATTGATACTGCGTAAAGGACTCTTTGCAGCAGTTAACCTACAGGTAAAATTAATACACAGTTGTATAAATGTCTGATACAATAGTTTAGAAAATGTAGAGTGTAGATAAAAAAAAAATTCAGGCACTTACTGAAACCTAAAATAAGCAAATTCCTGGTAAGATGCATTGAAATGAAGTTGGGTAGCATCATAGCAGCTAGTGATTCTGACTTCACCTATTAGCATGATAGATGTTAATGAACAATGGAAAACCTAGAAATACTGTAAAAGAATAATCTATCATTATAACTTACCATTGACCACCTTTGCCCGACACAGCTGAAGAACCAAAATTAGTGGTTTAATTAAGACCTGCATCATAGTATGGTAGCATGGCACCAACATGACTATCCCACACAGTGCACTGTAAGGTATTTCCCCTATAGGCAAGTGTGTTAGAAAAAATATAATCATTAGAAATATAGGAACAGATTTGTTAATATGGAACTTACTCATTATCAGCCATTTTAAAGTCCAGGAGTTTGGCTGGTCTACCTCCTATGATTTTGTCAACAGGAGCATGGATCTCGACAACTCTGCCTATTAAATCTGTATCATCACAAAATAAATGAATAGTAGACCAAATACAAAAATAGTTGAATGAAAAATAGCAAAAATAAGAACAAAATACTTACCAAACAGCACCTTGTCATTGACTTGAGTAGGGTCTTTCAAAGAGTCATAGCTTTTTAGCTGAAACATCTTAGTAGAAAAAGCTTTGGATTTTATTGCCTTTACCTGAGTCTTATAGTTTCGCCTGATCATATATTTGTGATCACAAGTTTTGTACATATAATAGTGGGTGAACACCAAAAAAATTTTGACTGAATAGAGCTTCCCTTCTATTAAAACATTGTTATATTTTTTAACATCCTTGTTTTGCATGTTCAAATGAACGAAAGTTCCCTGCACATAAGATTAGTGAAATAAATAAAACATTAGCATAAAGATAACCTTAAACAGTGAACAGAAAAAAAAGTGTAGATCAAAAATCTGTTTTGAGCCTAGATTTGGTAGAGCATAAATCTGTGTAGAGCCTAAACATTAAACAGTAAAATAAAATATTAAACAGTGAACTAAAATATAGCATAAGGATAACCTTAAACAGTGAACAGAAAAAAAAAGTGTAGATCAAAAATCTGTTTAGAGCCTGTTGGTCCCAAAAGAGGTAAGGTGAAAGTCTAGGGGGGGGGGGGGGGGGGTTTGAATAGACTTTCAAACTTTTTCGCACAGCACAACAATTGCTAAGACAGAGATAAACCAAAACTCTTAACTAGATTGTTAGAGTATGGTGCACAGCGGAAATAATTAAACATAAAGTGTGTGTGAGATTGTGTGAGCAGTATATCTTCGTGTAGAGCGTATATGTAAAGAGCAGTAAGTAAAGAAAGCAGTAAAGAACACAAGACAATTATAGTGGTTCGCGAGGTGGTGTAATTCTCCTACTCCACTTGTTTTTTTCTCCAAGAGCCAATTCACTATATCTACCACTCCTTGGTTCCAAGATACAATGAATTCCGTGATCTAGTGCTTTGATCACAAAGCCCGCACTAATCACGCCCAGTGACACCACACTGCTGCTTCGGGTTTCACGTCGCCGCGCTACTATCCCAGGATTTCACGACTCCGCGTTACTTTCCCCCCGTCTTCCACACTCCGGTAGAAACGTATCCCATGATCTGGTGCTTTGATCACCAAGCCCACACCAATCACGCCCAGTGCCTCCGACACTGCTGCTTCGGATCTCACAGCTCCGTGTGACAATCCAGGATTTCACAGCTCCGTGCTACTTTCCTCCCTTCTCTTGTTTTGCTCCAAAACAAGTGTTGTCTTGCTTCCAACTTCTGAGACTCTGTAGTTGATCTTCAATGATGCGCAGGTCTCTTTGATGAAGATAAACACTCTGGAAAGATTTCTCCTGATAGCTCTGAGTGTTTTCTCTCTTTGAATATATCAAGTAAAGCACTTGATATTTTTGCTCTGCTTTGCTCTGTTTAAGAACTCTCAGAATATTTCTCTTTTGAAGCTCTCTGAGTTCTTTTTCTTTTCTCACACTTGAAGATTTTAGCTCTTTTAAGCTTAATTGCTCTATTCGATCCTTTGATGGATTCGAATTTTCTGCTCTCTTGTTCGTGAGTTCGTTGTATGCTCTTCTGCTCTTATTCACTGCTTCTTCAAGTCTTCATATCTTCATCATTTTATAGCTGGTGATGAGAATTCGTCCGTTGGAAAGAGACGCTCCCATGTCAGAGATCTTATCTTATCTTTTGCAAAAATGTCAGAAAGAGATAAGCTAGCCGTTTGAAAGATCTTCATCTCCATGTAAATGAGCTCCCAAACTTCGTCTGATATTCCTCTGGTTTTACGTTGAGTGGAAATATCTGGGTCTCAGTTTTGGTGTAGAATGGCTTCTCTGATTAGCTCTGAAGTGGTCCTTGTATCTCTGGGATTCAAAAATAATCTTTATTTTAATCCCATACTAGTTAGACTAGTATTTTCCTTGTGAGAATATTTTTCACTGTAAGTTCTGCTTCATCTTCTTCATTCTCACGTCTGGGTGTTCTCAGACTTCAAACTGGCTTTGAACTTCCACCCAATTTGAATTTCTCCTTTGTAATTGACACCCAATTTCAATTGGATTGTAATTGGCACCCAAATTGAATTTCTCCTTTGTAATTGGCTCCCAATTGACTTTGACTTGCAATTGGCTCCCAACATCTCCTGGTGCTCCAATTACTCCTCAATGTTGACTTCGAAATTGGACTTCTCTTTGAATTTCATCTCAATTCAATTGCTCCTCAATGTCTTCTTTTAATTGGTCCCCAATCTGAATTGCATCCCATACTACAACTTGAATTGGCTCCCAATTTCAATTCTACATTGGCTCCCAACTTGAATTGATTCCCATGTGAACTAGCTCCCAATTTCAATTAATCTCAATGTCTTCTTTTAATTGGTCCCCAATCTGAATTGCATCCCATACTACAACTTGAATTGGCTCCCTAGCTGTCTTCTTTTAATTGGTCCCCAATCTGAATTGCATCCCATACTACAACTTGAATTGGCTCCCTAGCTCCCAATTTCAATTAATCTCAATTTCTCTGAAACTGGCTCCCAATTTCAATTGCTTCGAACTAGCTCCCAATTTCAATTTCTATGAAATTGGCTCCCAATTCCTTTAAATTGGCTGCACTTTCCCAATTCCTTTAAATTGGCTCCCAAGTGCAATTGCATCTCAATTGCCACCCAAGTGAAATTGCTTCCCAATTTCCACTTGTAATCGGCGCCCAAAGCTCCCCAAAGTGAAATTGCTTCCCAATTTCCACTTGTAATCGGCGCCCAAAGCTCCCCAATCTGAATTGCATCCCATACTACAACTTGAATTGGCTTGGCTCCCTAGCTTGCTTCGAACTAGCTCCCAATTTCAATTTCAATTTCTATGAAATTGGCTCCCAATTCCTTTAAATTGGCTGCACTTTCCCAATTCCTTTAAATTGGCTCCCAAGTGCAATTGCATCTCAATTGCCACCCAAGTGAAATTGCTTCCCAATTTCCACTTGTAATCGTTGGCTCCCAAGTGCAATTGCATCTCAATTGCCACCCAAGTGAAATTGCTTCCCAATTTCCACTTGTAATCGGCGCCCAAAGCTAGTTTGGCTCCCAAGTGCAATTGCATCTCAATTGCCACCCAAGTGAAATTGCTTCCCAATTTCCACTTGTAATCGGCGCCCAAAGCTTAAACTAGCGCCCAACTCCATCAGATTAATTTAATTTGACTTCTCAAATTTTACCTTGTAAAATTGTTGATGGTGAGTTTTGAACTTGAGCCATTTCGGATAATATATCAAGCATCATCCACTTCGTCCGTACAACTTTTGATTAAATCTCTAATCACATATGATGTACTTCTTTCTTTCCATAGATGCTTGATCTCCAAGTCAATTTCATGCATTCTTCCAATATTAATTTTCTTCACGAAAATTCTTCTGGGATATCTTCTTTGAGTAGTAGCGACGTGATTTCATATCATTCATCTTCTTCTTCAATTTGTCATTTTCTCCAGACAAATTCTTGATTTTCGGGTTTATATCTTCTTCTTCTATTTTCATCCATTTTCCTCTGTTTTTCTCTTTTCATAATTAAATAATTTCCCGATCATGGTCTAAGACTCTACTAGACCTATGAAATAAAATTGGGGGATCTACAAATACATATTTGGCATATCAAAACCATTACACTTTATTCCTAACAATTTCCCCCCTTTTGATAATGCCAAAACCTATACTCAGTCATTGGCTTTAAGTCTTTGAAAAATAATCTTTTTGCTCAATTTTATTTGACAAAGCCAAGACGAGTTTAACAAATGGTTTTCTAGACACAATCAAAAGAAACTTGTGAATTAAATTTTTAGACAAGCTTCTAAACGCATCTTGAATTATTTTTATTTTGATCATCATCAATTTTTAATTTTGGCGTGCGTTTGACATATTTCTTGTCTTTTAATTCACGAAAGTCTAATTACATTAAACAAATAAAATTAAAGACTCAAAATAGACCTTGGGAAATATTTATTGATATATTTCGAATTTATAGAGAAAAACGCAACAGAGGTTCGAAAATAGAGAAAATATCAGCTTAAGAGAATTTTCAGATTACCTTCTGGGTTTCTTCACACCAAAGTCTTTCTTCAAAATTTCCTTGACATGTTCTCTGAGCTTGAAGAAATCATCTTTGAACTTTGCATTCTGAAATTTCTTTGTAAGCTGTCCGGCCATATAGTATCCATAAGCTTCTTTGATATTGTTGCCCGGAAGAACTCCGTTTTCCCACCATAAGACACATTCTTCGAAGCTTCTTTCTTCTCCAAGATTCATGCCCATATTTCTAGTGAAATCTTTTAGTTCATACCACATCTCGGTTCTTTTCCTTTTGCCTTCTTCTTCTTTATTCTTTTCCGAGATCCATTGGGCTTGATCGGCTGCAGGCCATTTCTTGATCATGCTTGGTAAATTTTCCTTCGTCCATACGATTGTCTGAGTGGCGGTACCTTTTGAGCATTCAAACCAGCCACGAGTTTCAGCAACTTTTGATGTAGTACCAAGACTAGGATTCGCGAACTGAGCAAAACCAATCTGAGATGGTCCTTGTGAGGATTGTCCGCGGCTTCGGCCTCTACCTTGAGTAGACACTACTGGCTGTTGTTGACTTCCAAGAATAAATTCTTGTTGTTGCAAAGCCAAGTGACTGAGAATTTCTTCCCCCCTTTTGGCGTTATCAACCAAAAATGCAAGGGTCTTAAAATCTCGGTCTTGGCTTGCCTTCACAGTTTCAACACTGTTGTGTGTTTCAATGGAAACGGTTTGCACGTTGTCAAGCTTGTTTGTTGTAACTGCGAGTTCAGCTTCAAGTTTGTTGATTCGGCTTTCTTGATCTTGAATCGCCTTGATTTGTCTCAAGTGACGTTCGTTGTGATGCTTCTCGTTCCTTCTTCATGAGCTGAATCACTTCAAGTAAGCCTTTTGTCAATTCTCCTTTCAGAATTCTTTCTGCTTTGTCAATCTGGGTCTTCAAAATATTTTGATTCTCCATTAATTCCTTCAGATTGACTCGTACATCCGTGTGTTGTTGATCCATCTTTTGATTTTGTTCAATCAACTTTTCTCCAATAGTTTGACAAACAACATCACTGGATTCGGCAACTTTGGCAAATAAGGATGAAAATATGCCATCATCTTGTTCATCCATCTGCACAAAATTTTGAGGGGATCCGAATGGACTTTTATTCGGATCTATGAGAATAACTGTGTCAATAAGTTGCATCCCTTCTTCTTCAGGTGATTCGGCTTCTTGATTGAGATCACCAACTTGTTCTTCTAAGACTTCTGTTCTTATGTAGTTGTCTGCAAATATATCTTCATTTTCTAGAACAGGGTCCACAATGGGTATGGTAGACTCGGTATGGTGTACTGGCAATACACTGGATAAATCCTCTGTGATTTGCAGTCTACTCTCAGTAGCAACTTCTATTGCAACTTCCACTGGTATATCTCTTCTTCTTTCTTCTGACACTTGTTCTCTTATTTCTTCTCGTACTGACACTTCTCCTCTTAATCTTTTCTTCTTTTATCCCTTTTGTAGCCATAATATATAATTTTTTTTAATTCCTTTTTATTTTATTTTTATTCATATAATTTTTTTTTGTGTCTTTTTGGCTACGAAACTTTTGATCTTTTTATATACGTAGGGATTTTTCATTTTGTAGGAGAGAGAGGCAGAGAGAGAATAGAGATAGACAAAACCAGTAGCAAAAACATCCAAGAATTTTTATTTATCTCCTTCTTACAGAGAAGGAGAGAGAGAGAGAGATAGCATAACATTTCTTCAGCAGGCAGAAAAACCCGTACTCATGCAGTCTTCTGAGTCATAGCCTCCTGGTGGTGAAGGAGCATATCCCGGTCCTGAGTCACCACTTGACTCACTTTCCTCGAACATCGACCCGTTTGAGCTTGAAGATGAATAGGTTTGATTAAAAAACCTAGTAAAGTCCACTCGAGGACGGATGAACGGGTTGAGTGGCATCTGCTGAGGAGGCGGTGGAAGAGCAGGGATTTCTTGTGGCAGAGGTGCAAGAACTGGCAGACTTGGTGGAAAGTTCGGGACAGGCTCTGGTGGAGGTGGAGGTTGATAGAGCCCATCAAAACCGAAACCGGGAGGAGGTAGAACCGGTCCAAAAGTCAGTTGTTTTAAATACTGGAGATATTCTGAATTGCTCATATTCAGAATTTCAGCATATATGTCAGGTTGAACAACCGGAGAGAACTTCATGAATGGAGGCTCAGACCCTTCCACTCGGTCTTGTTCTGCCAATGGTTTCTTGGCACCATCATCTTCTTCATAGATAAAGCCCAGTTCACGCGGTGGTGATTCTGCTACAGCTTGAATTTTTGGCGACTCCTTCTCTTGCTCCCTTTCATCAGATATTAACACCAGAGGGTTGCTTGGTGTTTCTCCTGCCATTTTTCGTCCGTCCGTGCGTGTTGCCCTTCGGGGTTGTTTGAGAACTTTCTCCCAGGTTCTCTGACTTTGCTTCCTTATCTCGTTTTCTTGAGACTCGCTGGACACCATCTTGCACCTGCAAAAATTCAAACAACAAAATCTTCCACAACAAGTATGTCTCGGCTGTCTCCCAATATATAGGGCGGTCAGGAGTGTAATCGGTTCACTTGCCGATGGAGAGTTAATTCTTCTTGCCGTCGTTTAGAGTTTACGGATGTGATGGATAGCAGAAAGACTTCTCATTGGCTAAGATGGCGGTGGATCGGAAGAGATTTGATGGGCAACGGTTTAGAGGGGAGAGTTTAATGAGGGGTTAGGTTTTAATTGCTCTGTGGGAGACGATTGATATTATTAAGCTGAGAGAAGGTATGGGGTGCCGATTTGAGAGAGAAAGAATATCAGTTTGGAAAGATTTGATCTAGGAGAGGATTATGGGGGGAGGTTTAGGTTGGGTGGAGGTTTAGAAAGGGTAGGAGTTTATGTGTGGAGGTTTGATACCCAATTAAACTCTAAATTTTCCTCTTTTATCTCCTGATTTCCTTCTCAAAATCGTGTACCACAGATATAAACACACTCAAACATCTCGTTAGTAGCAAAAATTACTCCACAAATAATTTACCACACATACCAAAATATTAAACACATATACACGACATTCCTAATTAAAATACATATAATTTGGAAATTAACACAATTAACACACATATTCCTAATTTGTAATTAGAAACAACTTTATATAAAATTTTACATCCTAAAAACAGATTTTAGAAACGAAAAATATTAACTTAAAGCATTTTAACACATTATATCATATATATGCACGAAACACATATAAAACACGGTAAATCACATTAGGCACATATATAATTAAATAAACACGGTAAATCATTTTTAGAGCAAATTGTTCATGCAAACAAGTTAGTTAATTTACAGAAACATGAACTCATACTCAAAAACTGATTAACACATCAAAAACATGCAATTTTAAACAAATTATCAAATAAACCACGAATTGCACATTTTATCAAATTAATTTGCATGGCATATGATCTCACGTTAAATAATACATGCAAATACACAAATAAATTCCAAACACATATTGCAATTTTATCACATAAATATTTCGAATAAAATCATGCATAGAAACACATAAAACAATTTATCCACATAAAACAATTAATGTTGAGCACAAGTATCAATTTAAATAGAGAGATTAAGATCAGTGACACTTAGCTCATTTCGATCATTCCCAACTCGTGCCTTAAGGTAGAAAATCTCGTTTCGCATAAAGGCTTCGTGAGAATATCAGCAACTTGGTTTTCCGTAGGGATATATTCGATCTTCAGATTTTTCTTTTCAACGTGATCCCTTATAAAATGATGTCGAATGTCGATATGTTTGGTTCTTGAGTGAAGCACCGGATTGTGAGTGATAGCGATTGCACTAGTATTATCACAATAAATACTAACGTCATCACAATTAACTCCGTAATCCTTCAATTGTTGCTTCATCCACAAAATTTGCGCACAACAACTTCCTGCAGCAATATATTCGGCCTCGGCGGTACTAGTTGCGATGGAATTTTGCTTTTTGCTGAACCAAGAAACAAGCCTTCCCCCCAAGAACTGGCATGTCCCGGAAGTGCTTTTTCTGTCTATTTTGCAACCTGCAAAATCCGCATCTGAAAAACCCATTAGAGTAAAATCTGTACCTTTTGGATACCACAATCCAACATTGATTGTGCCTTTCAGATATCGTATGATCTTCTTTGTTGCGGTGAGGTGGCTTTCTTTTGGATTTGCTTGGAATCTTGCACACACTCCCACAGCATAAGAAATGTCCGGCCTGCTTGCAGTAAGATATAGAAGTGAACCAATCATTCCTCTATATTTTGTTTGATCGACATCTTTTCCATCTTCATCTTTGTCTAGCCTTGTTGATGTGCTCATTGGAATTTTGATCGATGATTTTCCATCAAGGCCAAACTTCTTTATCAAGTCGCGGGTGTACTTTGCTTGATTGATGAATACTCCTTCTTTCAGTTGTTTGACTTGTAAGCCCAAGAAGTAATTCAATTCACCCATCATGCTCATTTCGAATTTGTTCTGCATAAGCTCAAAACCTGGGGGTTGTTCGACATAAACTTCTTCTTCAAGTAGACCATTCAAGAATGCGCTTTTCACGTCCATTTGATAAACGGTGAAATCTTTGTGTGCGGCGTAGGCTAGGAAAATTCTGATTGCTTCAAGTCGGGCTACTGGTGCAAAGGTTTCATCAAAATCTATTCCTTCTTCTTGAGAGTATCCTTTTGCAACGAGCCTTGCTTTATTCCTAACAATCACGCCTTCTTCGTTTGCTTTGTTCCGGAAGACCCATTTGGTTCCTACAACATTGTGATTCGCCGGTCTTGGAACAAGTTCCCAAACATCATTTCTTTTGAATTGATCGAGCTCCTCTTGCATAGCATTTATCCAATCCGGATCATTGAGAGCTTCGTCAATTTCTTTTGGTTCAATCTGAGATAGATAACACGTGAACAATGCTTCCATGGTAGATGATCTTGTTTTCACGCCTTCATGGATATTCCCAATAATTAATTCTGGAGGGTGATTTTTGAGCCATCTTAAATCTGGTTGAAATGGATGCATGGTACTGGGTGGATCCATTTGTTGTGAATTTGCAGTGTTGGTTCGAATTTCATCAATTAAATTGTCTTGAAATTGATTACCAACATCACATGCAATTTGATCATTAATTGGATCACCAACTTGTACTGCATCTCCATTCCCACGTGAGGCATCACTCCCAAAATTATTATTTAAAGAATTTCCAACTTCTTCTGGGTGAGGGATGGGATTTTCTAGAGAATTAATTTCCAACTCATCCATTCCCTGCAAAACATCATCTTCACACGTATCATTAGTATCACAAAAATCAATATGACACTTGTTACCATTTTGAGCAATTTCTTCGTCCAGTGCATCATTTTTGATCTGTGATTTTTCAAAAAATACCACGTGTATGGATTCTTCAACCACCATTGATCTTTTATTCAGAACTCTGTACGCCTTGCTGGTAGCTGAATATCCTAGAAAAATTCCTTCATCTGCACGCTCATCAAAAGCTTTTAGATGCAATTTATCATTAATATGAATAAAACATTTGCATCCAAAAATATGAAAATAACCAATATTTGGTTTTCTCCCTTTATATAGCTCGTATGGCGTCTTCTTGTACTGCTTATGGATCATGCTTCGATTTTGCGTGTAACAAGCAGTGTTGATAGCTTCCGCCCAATATCGTTTCGGGAGACCGGCAGCACTAATCATCACTCGTGCGGCTTCTTTGAGCGTCCGGTTTCTTCTTTCGGCAACACCATTTTGTTGCGGTGTTCTTGCGGCAGATAATTGATGAGAAATTCCATGTGAATTGCAAAAAGCTTGTATAACTCCATTCACGAACTCGGTTCCGCGATCCGTTCGTATTTTTGATATTTGCAATTCTTTCTCATTTTGTAGTTGCTTCAACAGCTTCGGTAGAACTTGCTCAACTTCATTTTTCTTCTTGAGAAACACGGTCCAAGTGTACCTGGAAAAATCATCAACAACAACGAGAGTATATTTCTTACCACTTACACTTATTGGATCAACTGGTCCAAATAAGTCCATATGTAGTAAGCTTAGCGGTCTTGACGTTGACTCGTGTGTCTTTGATTTGAATGATGATTTGATTTGCTTTCCGCGTTGGCATGCATCACACACTTGGTCCTTCTTGAAGATAATATCTGGCAAGCCTTCTACTAGATTCTTCTTTGCAAGCTAATTGATGGTCTTGAAGTTTAAGTGGTTGAGCTTTCTGTGCCATTCCAAATTAGCTTCATTTGAATTTCTGGCCATTAAGCACACTGAATCTTTGCTTGTGCTCCAATCAACAACATACATATTCTTTCGCCGTTTTCCAGATAAAATAATCTCATTTGTGAGCTCATTTTTGATTAGGCAATTATCTTTAGAAAATTCTACAAGATAGCCTTTATCACAAAATTGACTAGTGCTCAACAAATTAAATTTTAATCCTTCAACGAAAGAAACATCTTCAATCTTCAAACCATTTTTCTTGATCGTGCCAACTCCTTTTGTAATTCCATAATTTTGATTTCCTCCGAATATAACTTTTGGTCCATCGATTTCTTTGAAATTCACTAGATATGATTTATTTCTAGTCATGTGGCGTGAGCAACCACTATCGATGTACCAAACATCCTGCAAAAAAGATTAATTAACTTTAGGTACCCATACTTGCTTGGGTCCTTTACTGTTAGTGATTTTTGGTAACCAAACACACCTTGATCTTATTGAATTAAGATGAGGCGATTTGTAACCATTGGAGACACGATAATCATAACTCACATTAGAAAATATTTTTGGCGCCGGGTTTTGAAAATTATTTTTATATTTTGGCACCTGGGAAGAGAATGGTTGCTTTGGTCTATAAAAAATATTACATCTATTACACAACCAATCTTTTTGAGTGGGATGAAATTTCCCAACTTTATTTCTAGAAAAGCTTCCCTCTTTTCTATGAAATCTTTTTGCACTTGACTCTTTGGCATATCTTTGCTTGTAGAATTTTTGTTGCTTTGCCGTAGTATAAACTTGTTTCGTCCTTTCAACATTCAACTTTGCGTTTAATTGATAGCCAAGTCCTTGTCTCATTGTGCTATTCTGACTTTTAACAAATTTTACCACTTGAACTTTATTATTTAAAGTAGTAGTAGAATTAGTCAGATTTTGAGGGGTTTGAGAACATGTGGAGTCATAACCGATTCCGGTTCTATCTCCTGATGGCTTTTGCATGCTCACCATTTTATCTATAATTTTAGACGAATTAGTGAACGTAGCAATAGTAGCTCTAAGATTATGTTCTCTAACCTCTCTAGCTTTACACTCTTCTTGAAGATG